TTAGACATTTTATTGAGAAGAATGCCTTTTTAGAAGAAATGCAATAACTCGAAACAAAAACGTTTGAAAAAATCTTTCAAACTTTCATGTTAACATTGTTACTCAGATAACTCTTTAATCGTGTATTATTGTAGTAGAGTTGAGTTCAGATAAACATATTCCATATTTTAGCGTGAGGCAAGATTGAAATTGCTTCATGTTGCTTGTGATTATCATCAAACAATGTATCGTGATGCGATGTGTGGTAAAGGGGTTGATCGACATCTTTTTGCTCTGTAAACATTTGAAAATTTCAAATATTACAAAAATTCATGAAGTTATTTTGAAAAATCACTAACCTTTTTGTTTTCCCTTAACTTGTATTCGGCAGAATTATTCAGTACAGTACAACTTGCGGTATTAGCGCATAAATCGTGCAAAACTCAGCATTGGTGTGATAAACACTGCTAATCGTGAAATAATTTTATTTAGTCTACCTACTGATCGAAAGATTAAAAGTTTGAATTAGTTGGTCTGAAAGCCTTCACTTTTAGCACATTCTATCTAACACATATGATTTTATTCATCGAAGAAAAACAGCAATGATAATTTCTATTTTTTTATAGGTACATTGTTATGCGCTATCTAAAATTTAAGTCGCCATTCCTAGAAAGAATATTTCCTCCCACTTTTTTACTTTCTACCAGTCAAACACCATTAAATCAATGTGGAGAAGAAGTGAAATACGCCAATCTGGATCTCCATAAATTTGCTACAGCTGGTGGTGGTTTCGGACCAGTGGCTGATAATGGTTATGGCGTTTCCTACATTATTATTGGAGAAGATATGCTTTCTTTCCACATTTCCTCGAAACATTCGGCGCATAATACAGTATGTTTTAGATTTTTAGTAATTTGTGTTTTAGACAGACTTCCAAAAATTTTCCATTAAAAATTTCATATTGCAAAAATTTCGTTATAATCCATTTGCACAATGATTTTTGCTTCTTTAAATTCTTTTTGGGAGAATTTTTTTTAAAAACTTGATTGCTGGTCTTTAATTCTGTTAGTTTTTTTTTTGGTGTTGAAGATGGTCTGTTTTCAATTTTTTTTCTTTCCACTTATGTATTACATTTAATCTAATTTGCAGAGTTCGGTAGGACTACGGGATGATATCGTCAAAAGTCTTGAAGATATGGGTCTACTTTTACAAGGATAACAAATCTTCTCTTTCCATGTTCAATCAATT